CGATCGTATACGATCGTGGATTATTACTGCTGGCTGGTTTGGTGTGAGAGAAAAATACTGTTCTGGCTAGAAATTTACGATCCTGTTGTGCCGCTTGGAATTAGGCACTGATGTGCAAAGTTGATTTGCTGGGTGATTACTATATATAACCTATCATGAGCTACTACTCCTGAATAGTTGGCACTACTGCATACATATTATGCTGTTTAAGCAGGATCTCAAAGGGCAACAAGGCGCAGATTCCCAAAAGTCCAATTAACTCAATTAGGTCAGACTGAGTTATGCACACATCTGAGCCCCAAATTTTTTTTTGTTCTTTCTACACGGCTTATCATCACCTCCGCAGTATTTAGCAACGGTATAAAAGTTTGTTCATATAATGAAATATTTCCTTGAATAAAATAAAAATAAAAACCTTAATGAAAAGGTACAAATCGAAAGCATGGTAACACGCCAGAAAATATTATTTCAGGCTAATACACAAAAACACGTAAGACCAGAACCAGACACAACAATTAATTAGTCGCAAAAAAAGGTGCCAACACATATAATTGATAAGTTGAGGGTACACATGTGATCGATCATTAACCAACATAAAAGAAATAAATACTTCATTTATTTAGAGGGTTCAGGATATATATAACACAGTAATTACCCAGGTGATGAAACTTAATATAGCTTGGTGATAAGTAATATATTAAAATGTTTTAGCTTCGATCATCAATAGCTAAAAAAAGATATACATATTGACGACATGAGTTTGACGTTATTAGATTGATGGACCATGTGACTGTAGAGACTATACACAAAAAATAGACAGCTACAGTTCAATGAAATGCTGATATCAAAAGGAAACTAATAAAGTAAAAAATTACTTTTTAATTAAAACAAATCTAGCCGTGTAAATGCGCAGGCCACCTTACTACTCCTTCTGTTCCTAAATAAGTGTTCTTCTAGGATTCAAAATTTGTCCCTAAATAAGTGTCTTCCTCGCTTTCCAATACAACTCTATCTTTATCTCTCTCCTCCTCCACCCCTCGCTTCCTATGCACTCTCTACTTTTTCATTCTTCCTTAATTCCCGTGCCCAACTCCTAAGAGCATGTATAATAATTGGCTTATAGCTAAGCAAATGCTGATGTGGAGGAAAGAAGGGAGGAGAGAGAGGAGAACTTGGCTTTTATGCAAGCAACAAGTTGGGCACGGATGCATAGACAATGATATATAGGTCCATACACTAAATGAATGTGAGCAGTATTAATTTGAGTATTCCCGCGAATGAATCAAAGAGTTGCCGCGCCGATCGAGAGCTTAAGGGGCCGGGTCTAGCTAGATTATTTGTTTGCAAAGAGTCCAATCCTTCAAGGGAGCTGAGGCTACTATACCTGTGCTCGACGCGCATATATATAGACGACAGTACAAGCAAAACAAGTTCCCTACTGTAATACTACTCCCTCCATTCGCAAATATATGACGTTTAGGACAACCAAATTAATTCATTTTTTAACTAAGTAACTTGTCCTAAACGTCATATATTTATAAATGGAGGTAGTATATAGCGGCGAAAATGCGCGCGGCAGAAGTTTCTTGGCTGGTCCCTCCTGCAGCGGAAATTTCGTGGTTGACTACTACATACTTGAACCGGTGATGATGTAGTCGAAATTAATTAAGTCGCGGGAAATAAGCTAAAACTACGTTTTTCACTTGTTTGCTGAGTCAACAGAACTCAGTGCAGCCAGCCAACGCGCTACAATCAAGTGGTGTGTGAATTCCCTCTCCATCTGTTGCTTAATCGTGAGCTGGCCAGACAGCGCAATATTAATTGCAAGCTAGCAACCGAGCCGGGGGCGACGGGCCTGGAGGTAGAATAGTATGTGCCTGTCTTAATTTCTCGATCGCTATATAGTTACGATCAGGTCGATCAGTCATCAGGACGCATGCTGCCGCAATTCACTATCTGGCTTTTGCTACAATCAACCATTTGCTAATCCAATCTCTCTTCTTTGTTTTCCTCCATCCCTTTCCTTATTGGCATCAGCAACGGTGAGTGAGATAAAATTTTCCACTCAGTGGGTACGAATTTTTTCACTCAATGGGCACGACGTCCATCCCTAAAAGAATATTAGCTGAAAATAGGAGTACCTGTGCTGAGTATGGGGCTTGAACTCGGTGGATAGGTTCCACCACAAGTAACCTACGCTCAGTTCGCGATAATGGTGATGAAAAAAAAGGAAGTACCGGTGTAGTGGGTCCAAAAAAAAGGACACAGAGGGCCCAGCGAGATGAACAGAAGCCAAGGAAGCGCTCGCGACGATGAACCCAGGCAACGTGCACGTGTGTATCGTGTTCAGATGTGGCAGGACCTGATCTGTTGTTGAATTTTTTTTTTAAATAATACTCCATCCGTTCCAAATTATAAGTCACTTTGATTTTTTTGGTACATCTATTTTGATATGCATCTAGATATAATATTATGTTTAGATACGTAGCAAAATGGATGAACCACAAAAGTCAAAGTGACTTATAATTTGGAACGGAGAGAGTAGTATTTTAATGGAAAATTGCAGAAATAAATGATGTTAAAAAATTGCAAAACTAGCCGTCTGTCGCCACATGAAATGGTGACAAGACACATGTCGCCGTCTCAAATGGCGACAGGCTGATGTGGCAATCACCGTGTCGGCCGACGACGTACACAAGCGGGCCCCACCTACCTGTCGCCATTTGAAATGGCGACAAGTGACATGTTGGCATTTGAGATGGCGACAGTGGGTACGGTGTCAGCACCTGAAATGGCGACATGGGGCTGTCGGCTATTGAAATGGCGATAGGAGCCTATTGGCTGTTGAAATGGCGACAAGATGCTATCGCCAATTCCACAGACGACAGGTGCCTAGTAATTTTCTCCCGGCAATAATCATTGAGAATATATTCCCAAAAATCTATGAGAGTATTGGTCATGAATTTAAGTTTTAAGTTGTCGATCTATGGAATTAGAAATTGTGAATAAATTTCTTGATAGCCATTTGACGAAACGTAGGTTGCCTTTTCCGGTAGAAAATGAAACTGACATTGATCACGAAAGTGTAAATAAAGGTACATCCCGGCATTACAACGAAATAACAGTTATATTCATGTGCTATGTTGCGTGCCTACTCCTACGATACATCATGCAATTTTGCGCACACCATTTCACATGAAGTAGTACAAATTGCAGTGGCATGCGAGGTACCATGACTACCCTAACATGTGCCATTTCTAAACCTACCATGCCTTAGGGGAATGTGAATCGCCAGGTGTAGAACGCCAAGTCTACTATCTAGTAGAATTGGCTTTGGGAGAACTGAGAAGGCCCAGCCTCGCTGTAGGCAGCACCACCAAAGGATGGTGGAGATGGAGGCTGATCCTTGTTGTGGTGGTATGGGCACTTGCACCACATATCTGGACAGATCGGATCCCCTGCGATGCTACACACCCAAGGATTTGCATTGTCCAGGGAGTCCTGAAGGGCGTCCACCTTCATCTCCCGATCGAAGATCTTGCCCTTGAGGTATGAGATGTATTCTTGCATTGGCTCAATTAGGGAAGGATCGACCCACCTCGTGTAGCGGCAGTTTCCCTCGTCAAGGATAGACTCAGAATGTCGTTAGTTATCTGTGAGGCAAATTGAGGGAAAGCAACTAAGTAATGACAAGACTCACCGCGCCATAAGGACATCGGAAGAACCGCCGGTTATGAAACAATTAAAAACATTTACGTACTTACTACATGACGTGCATACCTGTCGCCGGCACCAAATAGAGCCCATTGTCGGCCCGTCCATAGGATCGGGCACTCCAAACTCGTCCAAAGTGTAGAAGTTGTACTCGTACGGCTCGTAAGAGAACAATTACGGTCGACCGATGTCGAACCTCTCAAACAACCACAACATCAGCAGCAGTGGACACATAGCAAAGGTACTGACCTTCCTCTTCGGTGAGCAAGAGTCGCACAAAGCTTTGTAGGTCGCCGCCAGAACAGCCGAACCCCAACTGTACTAAGGCATCTCGTCTGGTGGAGCCTCTGCTATCTCCTGAGCAAAGCGAACGAGGTGCTTGTCCATGCTGTCTCCATGAGAGCTAGTAAACATCACTACTAGAAACCAAAATTTTCCTGTCGATAAAAAACCGACAGAAAAAAGCAAAAAACCGACAAGCAAAATCAAAAATAATTTTGCTGTCGGTATAACGACACGAAAATTCCGACAGAACTAAAGCGACAGGGAAATAACTTTTTCCCGTCGGTTGTATTATTTTACTATCAGTTTAATATTTTTCTTGTCGGTGGGCGTCGATAGGAAAATTGTGGGTCGCCAAGTCTAGAATTTTGTTTCTGTCGGTAAATGACGATAGGAAAAATATGTGTACCGACAGGGAATAAAATTTCCTGTCGATGTTGAACCGCTAGAAAAGAAAACTCGTACCGACAGGAAATTCTGGTTTTTCTGTCGACGGAACCGCAACAGGAGAATTACAGTTTTCCTGTCATCCTCTCCCGACAGTATAATTATAACGTACCGACAGGAAATAATTACAATCACCAGGCCATAGAAGCACCTCATTTATTTATAATTTCATACGATATTCATGATAACAGTATTGGCACAAACATGACATCTAATTCTATAAGGTTTTCAACTAGAACACAAATATATTGCATCAATTTGTCATCATCCACATGCCATACATATAGATTAGATGCCCACGGTTGGCATCAACAGCCACAAATTAAGATGCCCATAGGTCTTGCATCCACAGCTACATAATTAAGATGTCCATAGGTCTTGCATCCACAGCTACATAAATAATAATTTCACAAAAGCATCAACTAGTTGATTGTCTTTCCCAAAAACTGGCATCAACTTGTTGGCTGCACCTTTACTATCTAAAGGTTAGAAGTGGCAACTACCAACAGCTTCTACAAACACAAAATGGCATTATCTGTTTGTGATAACTCCCACCTTCATGCATGGGTTCGGTTCAGTGTTTCCAATGCAGCTCTGTATGCGGCATTGAGATTGTCTTCATCATGGCCATATATGGCATTGTCATCATTGGTCGATTCCGAGCCAACATGAGAAGAACCAGTGGCCTATACATATATGAAGAGAAATATTAGTTAGATTGCTACAGGTAGTAGTAGTAATCTTCCAGATGCTAACAACAGCCAGTAGGTAAACACATTCCAAAACAGTGCTACCTATTTTAGGGAATCAGATCTATGAAAATTAGGCCTTAGTCCTGCACTCTCTCCATGAGTAGATCTGAATGTCTGTGCTTGCTTAGTTGCTTTCCTAGAGTTTTTTGTTGTGCTTCTCCATTTTCAGATATGTGCTCACTTACTGATTGAAATTGAGCCTAGCTAGTTAGCCTTTCCTGCTGTACATTGATTTTCAGTTATGTCAGCTTCTTTGTTGGATGCCATTCACGACTAGATGCCTGCTGCCTGGTTAGCTTTGGCCTTTGGGGCATGTCTGGACACGTGCAAATGGGATAAATAACTAGTTAGCTTGTGAATTATGAATTGGGAACACTTTCTGATGAGTATCTTAGTAATTGTATTATTCAGACAAGTGCAGCTAAAGGAGATGGCTGTATTAAAAATTTCGTGGTGATTGCATCTGCTTAGAACAGGACATGGAGTATCTCACACATCAAGATTGCATCTGCTGCTCCTTTCTGATAGAATAGAATGCAATGATAAATACTAAATAGTTATAAATGGATTGTTAAATAAATGGCTGCCTAGTATATTGTAGTTTGCTCAACAAATTATTTGTAGTTGCTTATTAAATAGTTGTCTAAAGTTTGCTCATTAAATTATTTGTAGTTGCAGGATGTCATCCGCTGCATCTAATCCTTCTGGTTCCACTAGCAAACCCATGATCCTAAAGAGCATGCAATTGTTATAACAAACATCAATTTTCACATACGGCATGCCAAGACCCTATAGTAGTTTTCTTGATTGGTAGAAGTCATTAGGTAAATTAGAATCTAGAGGAAGAAGTTCATGTATTATGCCTATTATATCATCATATTCAGCAATTGACATGTTGTGTCATGACTTTATGGCAAGCAAGCGAGCCAGAGCAGATAACCTAGAGTGTGTGGTCTTCTCATGCACCAACTCACTTGCACTATCAACCATCCTATAAAAAGTTGTGGCAAATGGTGTTGGTTGCTCATCTACTATAGGTGGATTGTCCCCAGCTAGATCAATCAGCATTTGATCCATTCGATCAACCTCATCAAAACCCTCCCCATTTGCTATGCTATCACCTTCATCATGCCCAATATGAGTCTCCCCATGCTCCGTCCATGTTTCATAGCCTTCCCTAAAACCATGCTTGCACAAGTACATCTCTATAGTATCCCTTTTGAGGCTGAAATAGTTCCGGCACATGGCACAAGGACACTTGATGGTGTCATTTGTAGCTATCTCCATATTGGAAAATGCATGGTCCAAGAATTGAGTGGTTTGATTAATCCATTCACTAGAGGGCGCTTTACCACGCTGCTAGCCACTAGACATCCAAGTGCGGTGTGACATATTAACTAGCTGTATTTGAAAGATTAAAATTAGTAGGCATCACATTGTTTTTATGTTGTAGTGTTTTAGAAAAAAACAGGACAAACACACAAAGTAACAAGCAGATCCATAGAGCACCTCAATCAAAGCACACAATATCAAATTTAACCAAGCACATAACTGTTCTACTGATTTTTTGACACATTAACTAACCATCAACAAAAATATTCATCTGTTAAGATTAAAAAAGAGTGAACTAAAGCTACATGCTTCTCCATACACTCTGTGTAACCCTCAAAACATAGTGTTGAAACCCTAGTTCATATAGGTGCATAGCAAAAACCATACACCTCTTGAGAGAGTACTTTATAACAGTTTTTTTATTAAGAAAAAACAGATAATCCAAGCTGGGTGTGGTTGGTGATAGCCACACTTCCCACCCCAATAGTAAAGCTAGCTCTATAAAAGACCAGCCCCATTACCTCAAAAATCACAGTAGCCAGATCCAGAAGTGAGCGACAGGCTCAAACACAAACTAGGAGATAGGTGATGTCCCTGGAAGATAGTTTCAAGAAGAGGGTAGACAAGTGCCGCAGGGAACATGACATTATTTTCAAGCAGGTAATCATCGGCTGGTTGGTCATTTAATTAAAATCTGCTTCACTACGGTTGATTGAATAATTAATAGTACGACTTCAAGAGAACGGCAAAGAATTGAGAGTACTAAATCTCCATATGTGTTTATCTGTGCAATTGCTGAAACTCTGTGTATACCTCAAACATGTTGCAGATCATATAAATTGTACATTTTACTTATTCAATAGGCCAATTAACTGCAGCAAAACGAGAAAGAAACAATGCTTACCCTTTGAGGTGGAAGTAGCAAAATCTGAGTCGATGTAACAGGCTGCTCCAGCTCCTTCACTGCAGGCTACTTTGGCTCCTTTGCAGTGTTTCTCCTCCATCTAGGGCTCTGTCACGGGCTCCTTTGACTGCAGACTCGTGGTCACAAACACCTCCAGAGGCAGATCTGGGGATTAGGGTTACGGGTTTCAGCGAGTTGGTCGCGGGATTGAGGATCATGAACACAGCAGTAGTAGAGACCGAAGAAGAGGATAATACCTCAAATGTAGCGGCAGGGGTGCGAGCCGCTGCGTTGGGTCAGAACGAGGGCGTTTGGGCCGGACGGCGGCGCGAGGCCTGGTAGGATGGGCTGCGCGAGGCCTGGCACCCGAGCACCCTGGCGACGCGTGGCCAAGTGAAGTGGTGGCTGTGGCCAAGCGGAGTCTGGGGCGTGTACGAGAGAGAAGCTGGCGGCGTGGAAGGGAAGACGCGAGCTCGCGAACTGTGGAGCCGTGGCCTCACGGGGTCACAAACCCCCTCCCGATGCAGGCATGGGTATATCTCTTTGGAGTTTTTTATTTTTTATTAGCCTGAGTCACTGGGTCACGTACGAGCTGTGGGCCTCTTTTTTTCCTTTTGGCGCTGGAAGCTAGAAAAGATTCCTTTTGGGTTTTCGCTTGGCGCCGGATGTTCGGACTGGTGGCAAATTTTGCCGCGTTGATTTTTTCTCATAATTTTCCTGTGTGTTAGAAAAATACCGTGAAATAATTTGTACCCGACAGAAAATATATAATTTTTCCAGTGTACCAAAAATACCGACAGGGTATTTACAATTTTTCTTCTGTGTTGATAGAAAGCGGACAGGATATTTACAATTTTTCTGTCGGTTTTATAATTTTCCTGTTGTTTTTCTCTACCCGACAGGATAAAGTTATTTTTTTGTCGGTTTCGTTTCTACCAACAGAGAATGTTAACTTTCCAGTAGTGCATGACCCAGCCAAACAACCAAAGAAGGTAGGCCTCCAAGTGTCAGGTGACTCGCCACTCCTCTGAGTCCTCGTCCAGGAGCTCAGGCCTGAACTACTCAATCCATGCCTTGGTTGGCCCATGGGCGTCACTGAACTCCTACTGGGGTTGCTGGTCGTCCCCTAAAAATTGGACACTTTATTAGTATTGTTGCAAACGAACGAGCAATGCAAAACAATGTTAGGCAAACATATGTACCTGCTGGTGGTAGAACACCCTAGAAACGGTGAAGGATGTGTTGCCTCATCCGACCTCCACACCGCCAGCGTAGACCGGGCCCCAGCAATAGGCAATCCGAGAAGCATGGACACGTCCTGAAGAGTAGGCGTCATCTCACCGACAGGGAGGTGGAACGTGTGAGTCTCTGGCCTCCAACAATCGACCAGAGCAGAGACTAGAGCGCGGTCCATTGCAAACCTAGCATGCCGGTCCCCTGTGGCCTCCACCAAATTAGCTTGTGGAAGTAGACCAGCAGCCCTCAACCTGCAAATAATACAGAATTCATCAAACACAACTGACATATGAATAAACCATGCAATGTAATTGAGAAAATACCTCGGAATCCATCGTTCGTTGAGCCTCCACAAGTGCTCAGGTGTACAGAGACCTAACGGGGGAGGCAATTGTCTGTTGTCCAATTGTGATCGATGCGTCGCATCGATCACAGGGTCAATAAGCTCTAGCTGTGGGTGCGCCATACCTGAAATGGTTAGAGTTACAGAATGATTACAAAATAAATCAGAATGAAGGGTATAAATGGAACGAACATAATAAGTAAGAACCAACACATTGTCCTCACGGTACATTAATAATAATGTTACAACACATTGCCTTAACGATACATGACATGAAGTCCAGGTTCCACAAATAATAATGTTACAACACGTAGCCTTAACGATACATGACATGAAGTCCAGGTTCCACAAATAATAATGTTACAACACATAGCCTTAACGATACATGACATGAAGTCCAGGTTTCACAAATAATAATGTTACAACACATAGCCTAAACAATACATGACATGAAGTCCAGGTTTCACAAATAATAATGTTACAACACATAGCCTTAACTTCTTTTGCTCTGCTCCTTTTGCTCGATATCTTTCATGGCGGTGTCTTCAATATTAGAAAATTTCCCTTTGTACTCCTTTGTCTGTCCTGAAAACAAAGCAAGCCACAAATAGTTGAGATTTTTTTAACCCGCTATTAGGCGGACCCGGCCCTCGCTAATTTTTTGTCTGAAAACTATAGTAGCTTGCAAAGGAGCACCATGTATGCCTCAGCTCAGATGATTTACACAGGGCTCCCCAAACTTTTTCTATAAGATCCTTAACATGTTTCATACTTCCTGTTCAAGTTTCATAATTTTTTGACGTCCAATTTATGCACAGTAAATGAATCTATTTAACATCAGGGTTCTTTTAGTTTCTCTGATTTCTTAACCAAGGTGTTGCCAAAAAATCCAGAAACTGGACATTTGAAATGTTGCCGCCGCATGGCAACGTGGTCGGCTTGCTCCCCACGGCGACCCGTCCATTCTCTGGTTCGGAAACAGCCTTGGAGAGGTGTGCGGCAGGTTCAATGTCCAGGGCTGCTCTCCAACTGCTGGTGAGGCGAATGCGGCGGCAGCGTGGCAGGAGCCAATGGTGTGCGCGCATGCGTGGGTGTGTGACGTCGCAGATGGTGGGCCAGGCGGCAGCTCCGGACGTATGGACACAACCGGACGGTGGCGCCAGGCTGCGTGAGGGCTGGACTCTGCCCTTCCCAAAATTGGGAATGGGTTTAGGGTTCTAGGGTTGGCCTGTTAACCTCCTTCCAGACGGTTTTGGCCCAAGACCCAATAATCAAAGTTGCTAAACCCGCAATGTAGATCGAGGTTGGTTAAAATACCTAGGCCAAAAGTCATTAACTTGGGAGATAACACTTGATCAACATGAGTTTGTCCTAAGGTTTAGGATTTAAGCCTCGATTAGGGTTTCTTAAGGTATAGGATTTAAGCCACGATTAGGGTTTCTAATATTTTGGTGAATTTTTAAAGGGCCAAACTTATCTCTAGTTGGATCTAAACCTCCATAGGGTTAGTGTACATGGTTTGTACCATGAAATGATGAACTAGTTCAACATCTCTTCTTAAGAATTTTAAGGGGAACACAAGGATGAAAATGATGTTGCCATCTTTTTTTTTTGTTTTTGCTATTTATTTTCCTAACCTAAACTCCACTTTTCTTTTGTTCTCATTTTGGTAACATTTTGGTTTACTAACTACACACATTATCTATCAAGTTCAAGTGTTTGATTTATTTTTAAAACTAAAGTTTTTATACCTCTATTTATTAACAAAAGGAAAAACCAATCATAAAATATGAATTTAAAATGCAAAGCAAGAATGAAATATGATGCTTATGTTGATGCTCATGAAATGGCCCTGCTAAATACCTGGGGTGTTACTGACTGTTCTGGCAGACGTGGATCCACGGGCGATTTGTCGGTGCGCTTGTGGGACATGGATGCCCCACGGCCTCCGCCCGCCGGATGCACCGCCGTGGGACAAAGATTCCCACGATCTTGGCGGAAGCTGCGCATACCGGGAGTGGATTCTCCGTCGGATCCCGCAACAATGGTCGAGGGACATAACGTGGTCACTTCCTCCCAGCGTGTAGTTTTGCCTCCTCCACGGCCTCCTCTACCGCAACTTCTTTTTGCTCTGCTCCTTTTGCTCGATATCTTTCATGACGGTGTCTTCAATATTAGAAAATTTCCCTTTGTACTCCTCCTTCTGTCATCCGAAAACAAAGCAAGCCACAAATAGTTGAGATTTTTTTAACCCGCTATTAGGTGGACCCGGCCCTCGCTAATTTTTTGTCCGAAACTATAGTAGCTTGCAAAGGAGCACCATGTATGCCTCAGCTCAGATGATTTGCACAGGGCTCCCCATTGATGAATGTCATTCACATGTTAATTTCTTTTTGTTCTTGATGTGTGCCGTCTCTCAAGTTTTGTCCTAGGTCCGCCCCACGCTATATTCTTCCCGAAAACAAATGGTAC